ATCTATCCTTGTCTAATGATACATGCGCATTACATTCATCTATAAACATAAACATATATAAAAATATTTGTACGAAACAAAATATGCAAAATGTATCCTAACGATTATTCGTCCTTAAAAATAGTTAGTTTATTGTACAGTGCTCTTATTCGATACTTTATGTCGCTTAATTTCTCACTTACGTGTTTTAATCGTTTGTCTATATAATTCTGTACAATGAGATAAATAATTTGTTGTCACTGCTGCTGTTACTGAGCAGTGCGCATGCGCAGCAGGGGTCTCAGAATTTATCCCTCGGCCCGCTCGGCCGGAAAGTGGGGACGACGCGACCATGGTGGTACTTGATAGGTTCGCTTCGCGAAGGCGCATGAGGAAAATAGTAGTGGGAATCGAAATACGGGCGAAAAAGAGGGGAAGCGAGCCGTGCGGCATAAGTTTTGAGACTCGTGAGTGAGTAGTCACTGACTGACTGTAGTCACTAGTCAGTCCTGAGCAGTCCTGAGTATAAGAAAGAACTGGAAATAACAAAGAACCTGTGGCTTGTGACGACCATAGTTGCCAGAAAAGTGCACGTGCAGCAGACGCGCAGAGCGCAGTGACGTGAGTGAATGAATGGTTGTGCGTTTGTTAATAATCGAGTCCTAAGTGTTTATATGTTGAATATCGAAAATGAATACGAAAGAAAAGGAAAAGTACATCGAAGAATTCGACTTCCCTCATTGCGATGAATCTTCGAAATATGAGAAAGTCGCAAAAATTGGCCAGGGCACTTTTGGGTAAGCTCATTTTAAAATGTTCATCCATTTGTAGGTTAGAATCAAACATTTCTACTATTTTTCAATTCTCGTAATCGTTTTACAGAGAGGTGTTTAAGGCCAGAGATAAAAATAGTACAAAAAAATTCGTAGCTATGAAAAAAGTGTTAATGGATAATGAGAAAGAAGGGGTATGTATATGTTCGGAAGTTCAATCTCATAATTAATGTACTTTCGTTTTTTGACATGTATCTAAGTAACATTTCAAAGGACAGAATTTTTTATATCTTAATAATTATCTTTTTACAGTTTCCTATCACAGCTTTAAGAGAAATAAGGATATTGCAATTATTAAAACATGAAAATGTAGTGAATTTAATTGAAATATGTAGGACAAAAGGTAAATATAATAGATTTATGCAAAGTAGTTACTGATGTTTATAATCTCCAAAAAGGTTTTATTTTAGAATTTTTGTTTCAGCTACTCAATATAATCGTTATCGTTCTACATTCTACCTAGTGTTCGATTTTTGTGAACATGACCTCGCAGGTTTATTGTCAAACGTAAATGTCAAATTTAGCTTAGGAGAAATTAAGAAAGTTATGCAGCAGTTGTTAAATGGCCTCTATTATATCCATAGTAATAAGGTAAATATATATATATATTTTGTGCAATTAATTAAGTATTAACATTGACTATATATTTATAGATTTTACATAGAGATATGAAAGCTGCAAATGTTTTAATAACAAAGAATGGAATATTGAAGTTAGCTGATTTTGGGCTGGCTCGTGCTTATAGTGCAAATAAAAATGGCCAACCAAATCGTTACACAAATAGGGTTGTTACTCTTTGGTATAGGCCACCAGAACTATTGCTGGGTGACAGGAATTATGGTCCACCCGTGGATTTATGGGGTGCAGGATGCATAATGGCCGAGATGTGGACCAGGTTGGTATTTTTCAATTTTAGAACTGATTTACTGGCATATTTACTTTATGTAAGAGAACGACGGACTGGTATAAAAAAACCACAATGTGTCTTATAATATCTAAGGATGTGGTGTGCAAAAATTATTTTTAAAATGATTTTAATTTGAATAGGTCACCTATAATGCAAGGAAATACAGAACAACAACAGCTCATTTTGATTTCTCAATTGTGTGGTTCTATAACGACGGAAGTATGGCCTGGAGTAGAAAATTTAGAATTATTTAATAAAATGGACTTACCTAAGGGTCAAAAACGGAAGGTAATTATTATTTCACTCTTTTAATGATCTATAAAATTTGAATGATGCGTTAAAATCAAATAATTGTTCAATAGGTCAAAGACAGATTAAAACCGTACCTAAAGGATCCGTACGCATGTGACTTGTTAGATAAACTTCTAATTCTTGATCCATCTAAAAGGTTCGATTCAGATTCAGCGTTGAATCACGACTTTTTCTGGACCGACCCAATGCCTTGTGATCTTAGTAAAATGTTGGCGCAGCATACACAGAGCATGTTCGAGTACTTAGCTCCACCGAGAAGGCCTGGGCATATACGTCATTCACATCATCAAGTACCTGGCGGAGCAGCTAAACCTACGTCTAGTATGGCTGATAGTGGTTATCAAGATCGCGTATTCTAGAATACATATTTTATTTTGATGAACACTGACTGCCCTTAATGGTTCACATGTTCTCTCCATCCCCCGACACATTAATGACTCATGGAATAACTGAGTCCGACTTCACCTATAAGACTTTTAAGTTAAACTTTAATACCTGATTTATACAAGCTTGTAAAGTAAGATGTAAAATTTTCTTATACATGTACATACACACATATATATATATATATATAAGTATATAAATAAATTTTGTACAAATGAAAATAGTCTCCTGATGTAAGCCTTATATTTCCAGGAACGCTTGTTTATTTTTTGTCCCGTTATCTTCAAATATTATTTATGATATTTATGAAGGAAAAAAGAAATTTTATGTTTATGGGTATACATGGACGCGTTGTTTAATTTAAATTGTATTTGTCTCTTATTGTCAGTATTCTTGAGTAAGCAGCTTATGTTCAATGTAGTTATGAAGTATGATCGCGTTTCGTGATGTGATCTAGAATCTTAATAATCTTAATAGAATCATAAGATCTGAGCGGGAGATTATGGACCGATGAACTTGAGGACTGGAAGCCCACGTCACGTCCACGAGGACCATTAGTATACATGGATCTGACTGACCTCACGGGTGGTGTATGTAGTTGTGAGTTACTGTGATTAAAGACGGAAGGGGCAAACAGGATCTGATACTCTGATCCATTATCTGAATGTGCATTATTCTTAATATCGATACTTGAGTTAATAAAATAATGATGATCATAAAATGATGGCTATTCAATTACAAATATAAATATTTCTTAAAGTTTTTCTATTTCTTATGATTTTCTTATACGCATAGTTACTTTTTAAGTTGAATGGTTGACATTTGTTTTATATATTTCTCTAGAGCCATGAAATCATTTTAGATTTTCGTGAAAGTCATTCTTGGTTGAGGTTAATAATAATTCTTGCTAAAAATTATAAGACAAACAGTTTAAAGTCGTGTTAAAGTGTTAATTGAACAATGCATACTGAAGAAATCCTTAAGTACGACATCAAACAATGTTTAAATTTAATAATGGCTGGTAACGATACAGAAGTTAGTGAAGGATGGACCAAACTTAAAAAATTAGAAAGTGAGCCCATATATGGGCACTTAAATAATTACGAAACTATCTTGCATGAGGTACTGACCGGTACGATTATAAATGTGCAAGAACTTCCAAGAGTTCTGATATGGTTTTCAAAATATTTAACAGAAAAACCATTTACTTTGCACTCAATCTCCAATGATATTGCAATAATGCTGAAAAATACAGAGATCAGTGATATGTCTCACTTGACAATGATACTTCAGGTATTATTAGAACATAGTGTCTATTTACCGGATTCTATTAATCATTCAAAACTTTGCGAAGCAGTCGTTATCAGTTTGTCTACATTTTTAATGCCATGTGACCCAAGGAAGATTTCAGAATTTAATGATAACGCATCGAAAGTTCAAAATTTTTTGGAAGTAATTAGATTGAAGTCTAAAAACATTGAAAACGACAACCTTATTCTCATATGTCTTCAGACATTATATAAAATAATATCAGATACTAAAGGAAAACAAGAACCTGGGCCTGGTTTAGCAGCTGTACTCCAAGTGGTAAAATCTTCTATAATACCACAGGCTGTTGATTGGATTCTTTCTGAATCTCACTCAGATGCCCAGTTGGCACAGGCTTTAAAGGTCTTGTGTAGTTGGCTTCCAAAATGGAGAGGGGACAGACTCAGTATTTGGATCATGGAGTTTATAATTGGTTTAGAAAAAAGGCATAAATATTCAATACTCATTGAAGTTACAAAAGCTAAGCTCGATGTAATGTTCTGTGCTTTATCAGTACCTGTTTGCCGTCAAAATGCTTCCCCTATTATATTTTACATTTTAAGAAAGCAAGGATCTCCATCCTTGTTTCAAAACATAGTAAGAAATATACAAATAGTGATGTCTAACTTCCTAATTAAAGAAGATTCTGAATCAAGCAAGGAGTGCATACAGAACTTGGTTGACATCATGAAAATACTTATGTTAAGATTTCCAAACCAACATGGTTGCATTAATTTGGAAAACAACTTCCCAGTACAACCCAGAATGCATATTGTTAAAGAAGTATGGAATGATCATGTTTGGATAGATGAAATGGAGGAGAAGGAGCCGTTAATTGAAACACCGAAAACACATCTTGGAAAAGTTGGCCTTTCGAATCTTGGAAATACATGTTATATGAACAGTGTGTTACAAGCGTTATTAATGACTAAACAATTTTGTTATGAAATATTAATGTACAAACCTTCGAACAAAGCTGATGACCAAGTTGTACTTAAAAAGTTGCAAAATCTATTTACTTTATTGTTGTACTCGAAGAGGATTTCCTTGGCACCAACTGAGATTTTACTAGCTTCCCGTCCTGCTTATTTTCTGCCTGGTCAACAACAGGATAGTTCAGAATTTCTCTGGTACATTTCAATGTTTTATTAGTAAATTATTTCATGATGAAAAACGTGGTAATCGTAACTAACACCTGTACTGTATGTAATAAATGATTCGTTTCTTTTAACAGTCACCTATTAGATCTTCTGCATGAACAAGAAAAGTCAGCTATTATAATTTGCGAAGCTAATGATTCTAAGGAAGACAGAGAGACGAATGAAATGTCAACGATGAGTGAAGAAGGAGCTAGTATCAAGCGATGGACAACTGAAGAGGATTTAAGTGAAAGTATTGTATTGGAAAGGAAGACACAATCATTAGCGGATTTCACTGATGGTAATTCATTTTTAGGATATCTTGTTATAACGTATTACTATAAAAATATTTTCCTTACTCATACGTCGGTGATGTTACAGGAGAAGATCTGGCACAAGTTCAACAACTTAGTGATTCACATTCGGATTCTACAGATAGCGGGATACAGTCCGTAGGCGGAGAAGACACGAACACACAAGTACCACTTGTTCATAGAGTACTAGGAGGAAAATGTAAAATTACTTATCAATGTGCCCAATGCGATACGAGTTCACACAACACGGATAAATTCCGTGACCTACAGTTGTGCTTCCCAGAGGAGATACAAGAGAATCAAGAAGTTTCTGTACAGGATCTTATAAATTATTATCTCACACCGGAGAAATTGACTGGCGAAAATAAATATCGTTGCGACAAATGCATGAAGCTGTGCGATGCACAAAGGATCATAAAAATTTTGCATGCACCTACGTATTTAATTCTAATACTGAAACATTTTCGTTACGACTTCGACACCAGATTAAGAACGAAATTACGGCACAAAGTGATGTACAATGAGACTATACAATTACCAGTATCAACACCATCATGCACAACTACCGAGACTTATCAGTTGTACGCAGCTGTTGTTCATTCGGGCTATAGTATGGATTACGGTCATTATTTCACGTACGCTCGCGACTTGAAACAAAATTGGTATAAGTTCAATGACAGCTACGTCTCGCAGACGACGTTCAACGATTTCAAAAGCTTAAAGCCACCAGACACACCTTATATATTGTTTTATGAAAAAAATGTACCATTCGAAGGAGGACTTTACGATGAAGACAAACCCGAATTGTCGACGTTAAGTAAACATTTACAAGAATTAGTAGCAAATGATACCACAGCTTATATTGAGGAGTTAAGGCATCAAGCGGAAAAATCGCAGCGAGGACGACATAATTCGATATCGTTACGGAAAAACGAAAATTCTGACGATGAAAATCCTCCGCCTACTAGCTGTCATTCGAAGGAGGACTTTACAATGAGGACGAACCCGAATTGTCGACGTTAAGTACACATTTATAAGAATTAGTAGCAAACGATACCACAGCTTATATCGAGGAATTAAGGCATCAAGCAGAAAAATCCAAGCGAGGACGACATAATTCGATATTGTTATGGAAGAACGAAAATTCTGACGATGAAGATCCTTCGCCTAGTAGCTGCCGAGGCGCTGTCAATATGCGAGTCGTTTCTTTATTAAGTTATTGTAATGTTTAGAAAGTATTATATTTTTTTTTTATAAAATCAATTGAATGCTCCAGGTAAATTTTTAATACATTTTCCTTATGTTAGTAAGGAATGAACAGAGTTCCTTTCATAAGCACAGTACTATTGTGTCAATTGGTGTCAAATGCATTCAAAGACAGTATAATAAGGAACTTTATATACATATTTATTTTCTGTAGTTTCAATCATCTTCCCGACGAGCGTTACTGCTGTACATTTATTACGTGTAGAACAACTTTGTATATGATTGTATATTCCACGATTGTTCTTGATATGAGGAACGTATTACGAAAAGAAGAATTGTTAACAATAATCGATGGATATTAAACTACTGTAAAGTATAGTGGCGAATATTCACGAATCGTACTTAATACTTGTTTTCTTGTGGGTTTAAAATATTGTTTTTTCCCTCATGCTAGTTTATGAAATTAAATAAAAAACGATCGCGATCAATGGAGAGTGTATTATAAAATTGTAATGGAGAATAAGAGAATACAAACTCATCGTCAGTATTTTATAAAAAGTTTAATGTAATCGGCTGCGTTTTTACAGTCTTATGTATACACAAAAACAGTATTTCGATATTAATTGAAATATTATCAATTTTATAAGTAACTTTTGTCACGTTTTCGCACACAGTAAATCACTATCCATCTGAATTCAATCGTGCGAGATATAAATGTTATCTGTTGAATAAGCTCGCATAAACATTTTAATTTTGGCATTTATTGGCAGCAACCAATAAATACGATGTATATAAATTTATAACTTGCCAGATAGTTGTATTTGAATACTTATTATAAAATTGGTCAATAGTTTCGAACAATTCAAAATTAAAAGAAAAGCGTAACAATGATAGCAGCTATAACTGTAAATAGATATATTATAATTCTAGTTATCTCAAAACAAAGAAGAACTCCAAGCATTACGAATCTGTGATAAATTTGTACTGTCAAATTGATAACGTTAATTTCGTAGCCAAGTATTGAACGGATGAAAAAGGAATAATTGTCTAATTTTCTGAAATTCTCTCTATAGTATACGAAATTCATTAGGTCTTACATAATTACATTAATTTCTGTAGGCGATGCATACAATTTTTCAAAATAATTCATTATTAATAGATAATTCATATTAAGTATATTTATTTATTATTCGTTTAAAATGCTCATCGTTCCAGGAAACTGCACAAAAGGAATGTTTACTTCACAATATTTTGCCCTTTTGCAGGGTGAACAAATAAGCATTCGGTAATAATATTATACCGCATAATTATTTTATTAATGAGATTATTTCTGAATGGTGCAGTTGTTTTTTGTTCGTTAGCTTAACAGTGTAGTAGTGTAAAATAAGTGTGGAAGCTTTATCACAATATAATAAGAAATAAAGTAATAAATATGTGACGATTCTCTACTGGTGTATTTAATAAATTGTCTTATCTTTACACGACCGATACGGAACATGATTGAGTGTGATGCTTTATTTCCGTTAGATTAATTCCCACGATTCTGGTAATTATCGTGCATAGATATCGCTGATACATTTTTGTTTATATAGATGATATTGGCATCGTAAAACTTCGTCTGGAGGTAACGCGACATAAGTAAAGCCTATTTTGATAACGGTGTATTCACTCAGTCATTTTAATTTATAGGGTGTACAAAATTTATTAACATGTTTTATGGACTCAAATAAGAGAGGCATGCTATTTAAACAATTCGTCTGAAATTTTATTACAAAGTTCTGACCAAAGTATAAAAAAATAAAATAATATAAAATGGAAAAAATCCCGTACGACGAAGTATTTTACGTTTTCACATCAGACAACATAGTCCCGGTGCCGACGTTTGACCGAGGGTCGCTTCTTACGTGGAGACGATCCTCCGCACCAAGAAGCAAGAAGAGACGTCGGCAACCGCGACGACTAGCTCAACGGCACCGTAAAAACTGACCCACACCCGTGCCCCAGCTCGGTATAAAAACTGGCGCCTGTCCATAGTCCCTTGAGATACTCAAGTCCGGGCAGAGGATTTTACCATAAGGGTGGGATTTAGCGGATATTGCGGTGACGACGTATGCTGCCGTTGAGTCCCGCACACGGGGTCAGCCACAGCTACCCCTTATGTCGCGTTAAAGTACTCCCCACCTTCCTGAAAAAAGAAATATATATATATAGATAGTCGGATAGGTCGTTTATTATTTTAACGATTTCAAACAACATACTCAGTTCGCGTGTAAATAAATATATATTGATTCGAGGTAAAAATTAGTTTTAGGTCAATGTAGCTTTTTAACAAAGCCTTTTTAGATTAATTGTGATTATGTAACATTTTTATTTCTTTAAACCTATGAAGCAATGAGAGGAACGTGGACGTTAAAATTTGGTAAACACTGTATACTTTACGCGAATTTGATAAGGAGCCATATCGTCTTAATAGCTTCAGATATTTTATCCGCTTTAGAGGCAGAACGTGTACGTCCTTCAATAACGTCTGTTCAACATTATGAAGACCGTATACTTAGCTACTTTTGCTAGTAAGTATTCTCTAATTAACAATTGTATTTTTTACCATAACACAGTTTTGTTACACTGTCTCTATTACGAAGTAGAAAAATTTGTAAATGTGAATGTGTTTCACCGTTCGTTGATTAGCTACTGTAGGAATGACGTCGTACGGCGCGTTCTTCGGCTGGTCGTCACCGTCGTTACCACTTCTTCTGCAAGAAGATAGTCCGATACGTATGACGAAAGATCAAGCGACCTGGGTCTCATCCGTTTTCCTTTTGGGTGGAGCGATGGGTGCATTGATCTGCAGTTATATTGTAAATATACTTGGAAGGAAACGAGTCCTACTATTTACTGTGATACCAGCGCTCTTAGGATGGATGATAATTGCCTTCGCGACATCCGTATGGGTAACTCATCATAAAATTCTTTCTTAATAGACAAATTCAAAATTAATGAGACAATCGTGCCAAGTTTCTTCGTTGTTAAATTCTAGTTACTCTTTATTTGACTCGTGTCCAAGATTAACGTCTGGACTGATTGCCTGGTGACTCTGATATGATTAATACTTTGAGCTTTGTAAACTGATATTATCTGCTATAATCAGCTACTGAAAGTGGAAAGAACTACTTGATTTCCAAATGTTAAAACATAGACGATAATCCACAAAGTGGATACGAATTCTTGCTTATAACTTTCAGCAATTAATCATTGGAAGATTTATTTGTGGAATAAGCAACGGGCATGGATACGTTTCCGCGCATATGTACATTGGAGAAATTTCGCCGGCTAACATACGAGGAATATTAACTTCCGCGTTGACGGTGGCCTCGAAATTCGGCCTGTTCACTGAATGGGTCGTAGGACCGTTTCTATCTGTGAGAGATCTCGCGCTCGTATCTTGCACCCTTCCGATACTCTTCTTTGCGGCTTTGATATGGTTCCCGGAGTCCCCGTATCACTTGATGCGTCACGGGAAACACGATGAAGCAGTAACTGTTCTCGTGCAATTAAGAGGAACCGTAGATGTTTCCAAAGAAGTGGACACCATTGAAAAGTATATAAAAATAGACCTCGCCAACAATAATGGATTATGGGAATTACTGAGCGTCTCGGGAAATCGGAAGTGTGTCTTTATCCAGTATTAAAACTGTCCTTTAAAACTCTTCACAACATTATTATTTGATTGCTCTGCTTTTTTTTTACAGAGCTTTGCTAGTCGTGTTGGGTCTGCTGGTGGTTCAACAATGGAGCGGTAGCTTAGCGATACTCTCTTACGCCGAGTTAATTTTCAACTCGGCAAACAGCGAATTCGAAGGCAAATATGTGACCATGATAGTGGGCGGCGTGCAAGTGATATGCGCGGTGATGAGTGCAACTTTAGGAGACCGTTTCGAAAGAAGGACGCTACTCATGATATCCGCGTTCGGCGTTTCCGTCTCGACGTTCCTCGTCGGCCTGTTCTTCTTCCTTCGAAACGTACAGGAGAACGTTGATAACATCACGTGGTTACCAGCTGTCGCATTGTTACTTTATATCATCGTATACGCGATCGGCCTAGCCGCAATTCCGTTCACCATGATGAGCGAAGTTTTCCCTACAAACGTTAAAGCAATGGGTTCAATGATCGGGATGTTGTGCACTAATTTATGCGCTTTCATCGTGGCTCTGACTTATCAAAGTATCGCTTCGCACGGTGAATACGTTGCGTTTTGGCTATTTTCCGCAGTAGGTATCGCGGGCGTTCTTTTCATCTATTGTTACGTGCCCGAAACAAGGGGCAAAACGCTGCAGGAAATTCAAGACCAACTGCACGGATACAAGTTGTAAAAAATCATCTCTCCTAAAATACATTCCTTGTTTAAAAAGAATCTCTTATTAATACGAATATTAATAGTCGTGACAATTATTGAAATTTACGAATGTCTTTCGTTTATTAATTTAAAAGAGCTTATTAATATTCGCGTATTGACTTTTAAATAAGTACAAACTATTTTCGGTTATTAAAATTATGTCAAAATTTAATTTAATATTTTCTTGAATATGTAGGGAAAGAACAAAATGATCAAAGTGAAACTTAATGATTTAAGG